AGGCTCATCAGCAGCAGCATAATCGTTTTCTGGAAAATAATAGATATGGAAACATGTAAGTGATATTCTTTAATCCATGTTTAAGTGCTCCCGGACAACAATGGCATAAGATGCAGCAATAATAAAGATAAGAGATCAAACAAATATAAAAATGGTAAAACAATTGGGAATATTTAGATGGTCATGTGTGATGTACTGGATGACTTAATTCTGGAAACAATCATTTGAGCACATACTGTACTGTACAGGGACATTCACTTTAGGAAAGTATTAAGAGGCTTTTAACTATAGCATAAATAACATTGTGGCACAAAATGTTTTGATATGCCTTTAACAGAGAGTAGATAAGCAGAGATAAGGAAGGAATTGGAAGAATTCTATCTAAGGACAAGATGTTTTATGCTCAGCCCTTAATATTATACATGGGATTAGAACGGCATTGTTAGGATACCATGAGACTTTTTATTATTTCCTTTATAGTTGTAGTGTTACTATTGTATAAATTAATGTTACTATTGTATAAATTAATGTTGTTGCTTACGGTAAGGCTAGGAACTTGACCTATCCAAAGCATTAAATGTAACAATTCTGGTCTGTGGATTCCAATGAATGTTTCCAGAGTAGCACATGCATTTAGAGGCAAATATAGCTCCTACTTCTGTGGTGGTAGTGGTCTGTCCTGTCAGCCACAAAACCAGTGCAATTTTGCCATACAAGGAGCAGGCTTCATTCAGTGGGGATTTTTCACATAGTTTACAGCACCTGTGTGGTATGGAGTTCATCTTAGTGTGACTCCTGTTCCTGGTTGGGAACAGGATGGAAGGGAGGGGTTCCCTATGTATTCATTTGTCAATTTGTTTGACAAATATCTTTTTGAATATTCTTGCTATGTAGGTTTATTGGGAATAGTCTACATTTGAGCTACGTTTAACTGAGGTGAGTCAGATAAGCCACATGATGATATTTCTGATTTCTGATTGGATACGCTCTTTCCAAAGAAAATAGTGATATTCACTTCAAAGATTGCTTTCCGTGAACATTTGTATTATGAAATGGAATGATTTAAATGCTCATAAAAATTTAACACAAAACGGGGACGAACATGGCTGAAGCAAATTCATTTTAAGATATCAAATGATTTTTCACTGTAAGTATTTACACTATTTATTTAGCTCTGAACAACAATGTCAAATGGACATTCTCTCAACAGCAAATGGACACTCACTCACTCTCCCTAAATGTCACAAACTTGACTTGGCAGCTTTTGTCAGGTATAATCTGGCTCCCGTACATTCTATCTCACTGAAATCTAGAGAAACAGCTATCCATGACATGTCTCTTACTTAGGGTTAGTACCTTAAGATGTCAAAGGAGTCAGTTCAGAAATTCAAAAACTATACTCTGAAATTCAGAATAAATACACACTGTATCACCCACTGAAAATGCCCTTGTTCTAAGAAGTCAGATGAGGAGACTGGTCTGTTAACCCTCTCAGACACCCAGAGGAGGAACACACACAAAGGGGCACTTTCCTATCCAAAGCATTACACATTCTTTCCACAGTCTGGTGCATGTGACTGCCTGGTTCAATGTGTGACAGCCAGGACTGTAAGTAGGTGTAAATGACTGCAACAATAGTCTGTCCTCAGACTCTTGTTTTAGCTTCTTCTCTTACAGTTGAACTTTAACAATCATAAACCCATGTGTGGAGTGTTGATGACAGATGCTGTGCTTGTGGACTGCAATCTGTCTGATTAGAGTGGTCAACCTTCAAAAGGTTCCAATTCTGCCTTTGATAACTAGCTAGCATTGCCATGGTATTCCTGGTATTCTCTATACTTAGTACAGGGAATTCCTGGGGAATATTGCTAATATAGTGGTAACTCTTTTCAGCAATTTTAAGGGTGACCAATGTACTTGAGGGTGGGGGGCATGAGCCAGGGGCTGCTCTTGGGCACCCTGGCTCCCCGCCCAGGGCAGGTATAGGATCCTGGGCTCCTCACAGTGGCCTGGGCTCCCTGGGTGGCTCTTACCATGGCCTGGCTCCGGCTTCCATTCTGACCAGGGGGTGGAGGCTCAGGGAAGAGGAGGAGCAGGGCACAGAGAGGGAGGGGCTTTGTGTCCCCCGCCCCGTTATTTTGAGGTTCCGGCACTTCTGACTGGCTGCAGTATCTCCACAACTCACCCACACTGCAGTACAAGCCTGGCCCAATGTACCTTCATGGACCATTCCAAGAGGAAGTGTTTCTGTGATTAACTTATTATGGTTGATGTTCTAGACAGGTCCAACAAGCAGACCCAGGACCAAAGACAGAGGGACTTGTGGCTAGAGGAAAGACATGGCAAGAGGGAAGAGGAAAGACTCAGGCTGGCTGTGCAGCCTGAGGACAGAGTTTCAGTGTGGGAGCAGGCACTTGCTTCTTAGTTCCCGGAACAAGAATGGTGGCTAAATGAGGAAGACAGAGCTGAGCAGAAAAAGCTGTTTGAGCAGCTGATATCAGTAAGGACTGCAAGAGTACTGGCTCACCCACTGGTCTGAGCCCCTTGTGACAAATGCTGGGATGTAGTCCAGTAACATCTTAGAAAACTCCATGGTTAGGTAGCTCATGCTGTCTGGCCCCATGAGCAGCTGGGTAGGGCAACTTAGTCCCATGAAGTTCTCCATCTTGACTCCTTTCCCTGTGGATGTCTACCCAGCACAAAGTGGGGAAAGAAGGGAAAGGACAATGGGGAGGGGGTGCAGGGGACATGCAACAATAAGGGGTTTCTGTCTTGTACATGGTTTCACTGTTTGCACTTGTTCATGCTCTTTTTTTTGTTTGATTTGGAAATGTTGTGTTGTTGTTGCTGTTTTGGTGTGGTAATGGCAGCTGGTCTGCCTGGCAACCAGTGAATGTTGTACTTTTATAATACATGTTTATAAATAAAGCTTTTTATGTCATCAGTAATGTTTATTGCCATCACTGAATCTCATCATACAATGTGTATTTGAAATAATAAAGTTAAACACGTCATCATGGACAATTAGGAATTAGTAAGCATATATAGTTAGGTACATCAATATGCACTTCAGTCATTTCCTTGTATGCATCCATCCTGTGAATCATCCTTCACCCACTCGTTTCATAAGTGGTCATGACATTCATAAGTACATTGCATGGCAATCAAGGCCTATCCCTACTCCCACAAGCACAGTCATCAAGGTACTATTCCCCCTCTTCCATTGGGCCAAGCAAGTCCATAATGTGGGAGCACAGATCATCCCTGACCTCTGTTGCTCAGGTACACCCAGCTTCAGCTGGGGTAGCTGCACTTTCTGGCTAAGGGTATCGATTCAGTCCTAGGTCCATTCAGGGGGAAATGGCTCACCTCTGGCTTCACAAAGATTGTGAAGAGCACAGCAAGCCACAGTAATGTGCACAGCACTGATGACACTGGAATTAAAATGTGTCTGTAGACATCTCCAATGGGATTTCAAGCTACCAAAAGCACAGTCAACAACCATTCTGCACCTGCTGAGAGTGTAATTAATCCTTCTTTTGCCAGGGCCTCTGAAATCAGGATATGGTTTCCTAAACCAAGGAAAAAGAGGGTACATTGAGTCCCCCAGAATAACGATGGGGAGAATAACTCTGTTTATGACAGTGTCTTTTTGTGGGAATAGTATCACAAAATTTTGCTGCCCACAAAATTCCAGAAATGGAGCTTTCTTCATGATAAAGTTCTGGACCCACTGCTGGACCCATATTACTGAATGATGATGTGATCTCACCAGTCTGTGCTTATGGCCCTGTGCCAGAAACACTAGTCTATGTACAGGTCATCAGTGTCTATAACAAGTGTCATGAGCAGCATCAGCCAGTTCAAATCTGCCATGCCTGGGTACTCCTCCTCCTCCTCCTCCTCCTTTGGTGGGTCAGAGAATGCTTCTTAAATGTCCACCAGCACTTCACATAAGCTTTGCCTGATTCTTGAAGTTTTTGAAAAGGTACCTCTTCCGTGTTGCTCAGCAGGAAGTGCTGGCAGGCTGTTCATACTCTGTAATGTGCAGGGTCAACCGTAAAGTTTTCCCACAGTGCACCACAGTCAAAGGGCTCAAGTGGCCACATTTCAGGAGGATGCTAGGAAGTCTGGGATGTGGCTGGTTTGACTTGGGTCTGTGTGCTATAGTGTGGACGCCAGAGCCCCAGGTTTGAGCCAGGATTAGAAAATTTTTAACGTAAGGTTAGCAATCAGTGTAGACACTCAAGCCCTGGGTTCTCTAACCCAGGGTCAGCTTACTCAAATACCACTAAGTCTGGACTTACATTGTAGACATACCCATAGTTATGCTGTTTGCCCCGTTTTAAAAAATCTCTGGACTTGATTCTTTTCCTTATACTAGCCTAAATCAGGAATAATGTCACTGAAATCCACAGTTATAAAAGAGTAAAAGTGGAGCAAGTCACAGGAGAATCATGCCTAACACTTATAGCTCATAGCTGCCATTAGTGTAACAGTGCTGATTGTTTTGCCTCCTGTATCATCCTTGATGGTTTCAGTAACTCACACAGGTATATATTTATTGTATACCATTCAATGGGCTGAAGACACTTTTGTATTGCAATGTGATGTGTACTGATAAAATATTAAATTAACTATTTGTTTGTGAACATATGATGTTCCTTGTGAAGCATGCAAGGCTTGTTTCATTGTTTGAAAAAAAAACCTTTCTGCTAAACCATTAGAAGCTGGATGGTACGGTGTGATTTGATTTGACATGCATCTTCATAAAAATTTGGAACGCATGCAATACAAACTAAGGTCCATTGTCGTTTTGTAACTGTTCCGGCAGACTATGATGGTTAAATACTTCATGCATCTTCTCAATCGTATGTTCAACAGATGCAGAGGTAATCATGCAGTTCTCTTATCACTTTTAGGTAAGCATCAATGACTACTAAGAAGAATTCCTTCCAGAAAACAAGCAAAATCCACACCTCTTGCTTAATAAAGGGCTGTGGTACACAGCTGCCCCCGAAATGCCATTCAAATGGCTAGGAATCTTTTCCTTATCTGCCAGATGAAAAAAGAGTCAGGTATTGACTGACCGCCTGAAGAGTATGTCTCTATCTAAGGTATTTATATGGCCTTCATTATTGTAGTATATGAGTACCTCACAATCTTGTATGTATTTATCCCCTCATCACCCCCTGTGAGGTAGGGAAGTGCTGTTATCCCCATTTTAAAGACTGAATATCTGGGCCTTAGTCTCTGCACCTCGCTTCTCTAAGATTCTAGGTGACTAACTTCTTTGAGGATCTGGGCCCAAAAGACATGCTCAGTATCACACAGAAGTCTGTACCAGTGCAGGGAATTAAACCCAGGTCTCCCAAAGCTAGTGCCCCAACCACTGCACCATCTTCCCTCTTTGTAGAATTCACCTACTACAAGACAGTCCCAACAAAGAAAGTAACAGAACGCCACTAGCTGTCACCTACAGCCTCCAAATAAAACCTCAGTGCATCATCAAGGATCAACAACCTATCCTGAAGGATGATCCCTCACTCTCACAGAACTTGGGAGACAGGCCAGTCCTCGCCTACAGACAGCCCCCCAACCTGAAGCAAATACTCACCAGCAACTACACACCACACAACAAAAGCACCAACCCAGGAACCAAACCCTGCTACAAACCTCGGTGCCAGCTCTGTCCACATATCTATTCAAGGGACACCATCATAGGACCTAACCACATCAGCCACACCATCCAGGGCTCATTCACCTGCACATCTACCAATGGGATATATGCCATCATGTGCCAGCAATGCCCCTCTGCCATGTACCTTGGCCAAACCGGACAGTTTCTACGCAAAAGAATAAATAGACACAAATCTGACATCAGGAATCATAACATTCAAAAACCAGTAGGAGAACACTTCAATCTGTCTGGTCATTCAATAACAGACATAAAAGTGGCAGTTCTTCAAAAAAAAAAAACTTCAAAAACAGACTCCAACGTGAAGCTGCAGAACTGGAATTAATTTGCAAACTGGATACCATCAGATTAGGCCTGAATAAAGACTGGGAGTGGTTGGGTCATTACAAAACCTAAACTTAATTTCCCCAATACTAATTTCTCCCTACTGTTACTCACAGCTTCTTGTCAAATGTCTTTAATGGGCCACTCTCTTACCACTTCAAAAGTTATTTTTCCTCCCTTGGTATCCCGCTGTTAATTGGTTTATCTCATTAGACTGACCTAACACTTGGTAAAGCAACCTCCATCCTTTCACGTATTTATACCCGCTCCTGTATTTTTCACTTCATGCAACTGATGAAGTGGGTTCTAGGCCACGAAAGTTTATGCCCAAATAAATTTGTTAGTCTCTAAGGTGCCACAAGGACTCCTCGTTGTTTTTGCTGATACAGACTAACATGGCTACCACTCTGAAACCTCTTTGTACTGTGCATCAGAACCAGACTGGCAGAATACTATCTCCGAAAGAAAAAGTGAAAGCATCCAGATTAGAGGGGCAGTCAGGGAAAGCTCTAGATGAGATTGCCTGGTGTCCTAGTACACATGAATCAGTGGGAGAACCCTGAGATCTTGCCACAGCTCTCACCCAGGGGAAGGTCCCATCCTGTGAGTTTATAGTTTGTTTTAAAGCTGCTGCATTGTGGATTATTTAAGGAAAATATTGTTCCCACCAAAGACAACTCCTGCAGCCAATCCTATAAGAATCCATCTAAAGGTTTATTAACTAGGAACAAGGAATAATAGTTATTTACAGGTTAAAGCAAGCAAACATATATACACCAATGAGTCACTCTCTAAGTCCTAAGAGTGACAGAGTTGTAGTGATCTGTCAGTTGAAAGTGTCTTTCAGGGCAGACACAGGAGGCAGCCCCTAGAGATCTATACCCTGGAGTCTCTAGCCTCTCAGGGTACATCTACACTATCCTGAAAACCCCATGGCTCGCCAATGCCAGCTGACTCAGGCTTGTGGGGCTGGAGGGATGTTTCATTGCTGTGTAGATTTCTGGGCTTGGGCTCAGCCCAGGCTCTAGGACCCTGCGAGGTGGGAGAGTCCCAGATTTAAGGGTCCAGCTGACAGGTCTTGTAGTAAACTAGGTTTTCACACTTGATAATGCTTCTCTCCTGACTGTGTGGGTTTACAGTTTCAGAGCATACACTTAAATATTACCTTATAACTTGTTATATGGATATTATAAGTGAGATTAATACATTCAGCAACTTACAAGCATTTCATAGAGTCTAAACACTAATTACATTCCTATGAGACTGATACCTATTTTGAGCAAAACTAACATTTAGGTGACCTGGTCTGGCCTCCAGCTACAAGGCTGTCAGTTCTTAGCTAATACCTGTAGTCTGGGGAAGAGCTTGCCTCTGGCCTGCCAGCATCACACTGTAAACTAGGGGTTGTGAGTTGTTCAGTTCTCAATGGGGCCTTACACCAGTAATAGTAAATTAAATAATTCTCTTTAACCAGTGGAACAATTACTCAAGGGTCATGGTGGATTCTCTATCACTGACCATTTTTAAATCCAGATTGGATTTTTTTTTCTAAAAGCTATGCTCTAGGAATTATTCTGGGGAAGTTCTACAACCTGTATTATACAGCAAGTCAGCAGACTAGATTATCACAATGGTCCATTTTGGCCTTGGAATTGATTAATCTATTTTTGTTTTCAAAGACAGCTTGCTTAATAATAAATGTCAAATCAGGTTTCCATGGCATACCATGTCCTACTTATTTGTGTAATTATCTGGGAGAGCATTTTAGCAGATCCTGATGCATAAACGCACACACACTCTCTGCAATATATTACAAGAAGGAATATGAAAAATGCAAAAATGGCATATTTGCTAGAAAGCAAACAGAGGGACTCCCAAATGCAAACCTACCCCAAAATGCACTTATGTCTTTTCTGTGTTATTTGAGCATTACAGTAAAAGCACATTATCTGATACAACACTACTAACTCGCAAAAAGCAACAGAGGGTCCTGTGGCACCTTTAAGACTAACAGAAGTATTGGGAGCATAAGCTTTCGTGGGTAAGAACCTCACTTCTTCAGATATAGCATCTTTCATCTAAGAATCTCAAAGCTTCTTGCAAAGATAAGTAAAATGAGGATCATAATATAGATTGTGAAAGAGGTAATGGGTTACATTCTTTAGTTGCAGCCCTGAGCAAGAGGTGGTGAATAAATTGTATAAACCTAGGAGCAGCTTTGAGAGAGAGAGAGCACTCCTGCTTTCTCCTGGCTCCTGGGGGATAGTAATTTACTGCTGGTCTATTCCAGTCGCAGTAAATCATTGCCACCTGGCTCCCCTGTGCTGCATCAGCTCTCCTGGTCAGTACATTAGGGGATGGAGCCAAGGCTCTGCCCATTCTCTGCCCTCTGCATTGAGCAAGTACCCTCACTTACTCCTATGACTTGGACCCAAGGCCCAACTAGCCTACTTAGAGATGTAAGTGGTGTTCTAATTGCCTGCCACTCCTTGGCATGGGCATATAATCTGACAAAAACTTGCTCTGACTTGCCCAAATTGGCAGAGCAATTGAATGGAATTCAAGGCCATTCCCATCCCTTATTGACCATGTTACCTCCAAGTATTATGTATGTGGTTTCTGGCTGCTATTTTCTGCACCAATAGCACTCAGCTGACCTATCTTATTTTAATGACAATGAGATGGATTGGCAATAATCTCTTGTCAGTATCAGCCAGAGGGCAGAGTGAGTGAGTTAATGGGCTGCAGTGATTTGTAAAGGAAGTTTGTATGTTTTGTCTTGTCTTTTCTTGAATAATGTAGTGATCAGGATGAAATGCCTACTTGTAGGAGAATGTTTTCCTTGAGCATTTCACAATGCAGCCACAGTTTCTTTTATTAATGTTTTATATTTTTACAGCATAACTTCTATTTTATACCTTATCACACAATGGGTAACATCTTGCTCTCCACACAAAAAATGTGTGAAAGAAAAAGATGACTTTTTAATCCCTCTGCCCCACCATAGGAATCACATGTCATGCTTACCTCCCCTCTATTTCAGTGCTTCAGCTTGATTATAAGATACACATAATTCTGCTTATAGACAAACAGAATTTGGTTTCTGACTAGCAGACAGTGGACACATATCCTCCTTTCAGTACCTCTATTGACAAGTATGTTAAATGAACTCAGAGACACTATTGCTCTGTCTCATGTGCAGACAATACAGTGGTCAGAGTAAACAGCACTTTAATAGAATGTCAGCAAGTTTTAGCCTGTGTGACTAGGTTTTGGTTTTGTCTTTGGTCACTCTCTGATTTAAAAAAAAACAAAACCTAGGGCTGGATCTTCAGCTGGTGTACATGATCTCACTCCGTTGAAGTCAATTGATATCAGCTGAGGATCCAGCCCCTTGATCGCTGACTGGAAGGTAACTTATCTTTTCCTTGCACTATAATCTAGAGTAGTTATAATGAACGCATCTATTCTGAACCTAACAGCTGAGGGTGTCAGTTTCAACTACAGAGGGCCACTTCCAAATAGAATATGAGGTCATCTGTCCCAGAAGACACTACTCACACTTGTGAGAGTTGCTGCATGGTTGAACCTTGCTAATCACTGTTACAACAACTGGTTGTAACCCGTGATGTTTTTACATGATTTAGATGGCTTCCCTTATATTGTTAGAAAGTGAGTAGGACAGACTTGCTATAACTTTCTTTGATTTGATTACTCGGTCACTAAGTTTGAATCCATCCTAATCAGACCAAGTGTTTGTTTCATAACTAAGAAGCATATAAAAAAATCATAATAATGGTTACCTATCAAGGGTCCTAAAACTGCAGAAAATATATAAACCCTCCTCGAAACAGTAAAGACAGGGTTTGTGATCTGAAGAAATTGCCAGGCAGAGCTGGTCAGAAAGATTTTTAAAATGGGAAAACAATTTATTATGCCTTTTTTTTTCTATTTCTTCCTCCAAGCCCCATTTTCTTTATCAGCTCTGCCCAAGGAATAGTATCATTAGACTCAGTTACACAGGGTAACTATAACTAGCTTGGAAGAGAACATGAATGTAACAGTAACCAGTGGAGTGAGGGCTACTGACTGCTGCCCTGACATGCACCAGGATTAACTTCTATAAATCTAATCGACGTCAGGTGGCTGATGACTAGGGCCAGGAAAAAAAGACCAGTCTCTTGCCAACATTCCTGTGCATCACACCTTCATTACAGGTGAGTGAAAAGGAATATATATATAGGCTAGAATTTTCGAAACATGTCTAGACCAAAGGGTAGTTTTTGCCCCTTTTGGCCATGCATCACATTTTTACAAAGGGGGTATAATTGATCACAAAGGATTCTGAGTGTCCAGGTGGGGAGAGGATAGGATAGTGTACCTGAGGGGATAGCCACTCAATTGGCATTTCCAAAAGGCTTACATTGGTAGTGCTTAGAAGCCCTCATCAGCATAGGGGCTCCATTAGGCACTCCAGTAGAAACACTATAACAGACATGGTCCCTGCCCAAAAGAGTGTGTATATTATATATAAATAATTTGAATATTCTGAATGAATGGCCAGGCTACAACCCCTCCTGGACAAAGAGGAGCTCAAGGTCCCGCCATGTGCCACACAGATCCTGCTACATCATAACTGAACAGATAATTCCCCCCGATTTAAAATGATTTACACCAGCTGATGATCTGGACCCAAAGTCTTGCTGTCAGGAGATATTAATGATCTCATATGTAACATACAGGCAAACTCTTGTAGAATTGGCAGAATTGTATTAATTCACAAGGATACTTTAAATTAGAAGAAATAATTTGATTCTAAAATGTTACTTATTTACACCGAGTATCTTTGGCTTTGAGGAGTGCCACTAATTTTAGGGCCTGATTCTCTTTTACACAACGCCACTTTGGTAGCATAGCGGAGGACCTTAAAGTAGGTAAAGTCTCACTACTCTGGGCAGGTCTACACTTAAAACTCTGCAGCAGTACAGCTGTGCCACTGTAGCGGTTCAGTGAAGATGGTACTACGCTGACGGGAGAGCTTCTTCCATTGGCATAGTTAATCTATCCGCACGAGAGGTGGTAGCTCTGTTGACAGGAGAAGCCCTCCCAGAGACATAGAGCTATCTAGGCTAGTGGTTAAGTCGGTATAACTTAAGAAGTGTGGATTTTCCACACCCTCGGAGCAATATAGTTATACGGATGTACGTTTATAGTGTAGACTTAGTCTCTGTGAAAATGATGTAAAGATGCCTTGGTATACATGAGAACCAGGCCTTTAATGGTCTCATGATTACACTGAAAGCTCCAAGGGGTTTGGGATGGGGCTTGCTCCTTTGTTAAACGGTACATAGCTGCATTTGGATTCTTCTGCTGTTTGTTATTTTACTGAGAAAACATACATTTTTGGCTGTAAAGAAGTGGGAAGAGTTTGATGAAATATTGCATTTTGATACATTAGTGATGTCACTGATCCATAGTTTACATGTCATTTGGCATATCAACAGTAAGGTTCCAAAATTAAACCATTTTTAATTTTAAAAAAGTAGGAAAAGGAGAAATGTGGCCTGCTTGGTTCACGAAGATACTGCAAGGAGCCCAATGTAGCACTTTTGGTTTTGGAGGAACGTAGCATTTTTAGTGCAAGGTAATAAATTTCATTTTATCAATTTACAGACCTACTTTTCTTCACATTACCTCTTTCCAAGCATCTCTACTCTACTGGGGATCTGTACTTTGGATTGTTTTTCTACACTGGCTGAATATCCTGTTGCTAAAAGATTCCTGTCATTTCACTAATTTCCTTCGGACCATTTGTGTTTTCTTACCATAGCCTTCTTGTTGCCTGTAACTTCCCCCAGCGCTGTATTATTTGAAAATTTAATATGAGTTGACTTCCACTTCTCATCATTGGCAATCCTCAAAGTCGAGGATGATTGTCTGTCATGGATTGTCCATTTCAAGTTATCTGTGGGTCCACCGATGGCTGATGAGCCACAGACTCTTCTGCATTGCAGACATGTATTTCCGAGCAGATGGGTAACCCTGGGATGTTGGTCCGAGCCATGGCACGCTCTGTCGTTCCTGTTTTTCTGTTACGTGTAGTCGCATCTGGTTTTCAAAGTGCTGAGTTCCCTGCCTCTTCTAAAGCAGTGACAAAAAAGCTAAATGAACAAGGTCACATTTTACATTTATGGGACTTCACTAGACAGGTGACCATAACCACATGTTAGATTGCTGTACATGTATGGTAATTATACATATAAGCCCAGGTTGTGATGCCATTACTCATGCTAAATAGCACCTTATTACACATTTAGCCCCAATTTAGTTCATTGGGACTGTTGTGGAGCAAAATGCCATTCAGCATAAATAATGGTATCCAAATCTGGCCAATGTTCATAATATACAATAAGAGTTCAAACCTGTCAAAGTCACTATGGCAAATGTGCATTGCACTGATTTGTCAAAACTGCAAGCACCCAATTTTATTCTTATTTAACATTTATATTGCGGTGACATCTATTAGTCATCCCACTGGGGCTTCACTGAGTTCGATGCTGTACGAACGTAGTAAATTACAATCTTTGCCCCTGAGAATTTACAATCTAGAACTGTAGTAAAATGGGTGAGTGTAAAACTGATATCTCATATCTTATTAGTTGCTATAATGTTTCTTAAGAGCATCATGAGAATGTCGGAACCCTGGAATGCTATTCCATCCAAATGTCTCCTTTCTCTCTCCTCTTCCTTCCCTTTTCTTTTGAATGCACACTTTCCCCTTCTGTCCCAATCCCACCTCTGTCCAGTGTCATTCATCTCCTTTCCATGTTATTCCATCTGTTTCTCCTCTCTCCCTCTGTCACATTCCCCTTGTTATCTCTTTCCCCAATTGCTTCATTTATTACAGGCCCCTTTAATACCAGAAATCTCTTTCATTCCTTGCTTTTCTCCTTGTGGCTGACATCCGATCCCTCCTTAAATATGGTTGACCTAATTTCTCCTACTTGATCGGCATTTAATGAAACGACTCATGTCCTTAACACCCAAAGGACTATGCTATAGCTTAAGGATAGAACCATTAGTATTTTGTATAAATGAACCACTCCTGATGTGATGAAACAAATCTGTGAAGCTGTCACACTAACTGAGCATTCCAAGACGCATTTGTTCTACTGTAAAACAGCAAAGTCACAAACAAAAGTACTGTAGCTCCACTGTAGCTAACAAAAGTGATACTGAACTTCAGGCTAGAACAGATTTCCTATAGCATTGTAGCCAGGCTTTGTTTAACCTTTCCATTGATTCTTACTTATAAGAATGAAAGAATGAAATGTGTTGTTTAATATAACTACTTGGGATGGGAGACGCTAAAGGAAAGCCCCAGGAAAAACAGTGATTCAGTGGTGGTGTTGAGTCAGTTGCTAGTATTTCTCCCCTGACGTCAATGCAGAACCAGTGCTAGCCTGGGGTGGGGGCATTGTGCTGCATGGATAAGGCCCTTTGTTTTCACTTTTTATTTTATCTAAAATTTCCCAGGAATGTATCAGTGTTTATTCCAAAAAAAATTTAAAAGGGTGAAAATCAGTAAAAACCAAAAATGAAGGGCAGCAGGAGGGGGGCTGGGTGCCCAGTACTCTCAGGGTGCAGCAGACGCGAGGGGGAGGAGAAGGGTTACCCAGTACTCACAGGGAGAGCAGGAGGTGTGGGGGAGAGGTCCCCAATACTCACAAGGTGCAGTGGGTGTGAGGGAGGAGGGGTGCCTGGTATTCACAGGGTGAAGTGGTCAGGGGTGGGGTATTCTTGATGTAGCAGCTGAGGAGGAAGCCTTCTGCTCCTTGCAGGCCTATTACTGCAGTGGTCAAGCAGTCTCGGAACCGGGCTCCTTGCCTGTCTAGCTTCCCCACTGTGCAGATGGAAGCAGATGGGACTGCTGAAAAGCTGGGATCAAGAGGGGAGCAGAAGGCTGCACCCCAGAGCACTGCCCCTCCCCGCCAGACAGAGCTGTCTCCTGGCCTGGCCCTGCAGTGCTGCCCCTGTCTGCTGGAGGCCGTATTGGTGAACCGGGAAGTGGGCGG